CCCCCCCCCCCCAAAATCCAACCCCCCCAAAAAAACCTTCTCACCTTCCATGGTTTTTCTGGAATTGGAGGATCTTCAATTTCAGCATCAATATCACTAGCATGCACCCAAGTGTCATAGCTAAAAGAGAAATCAGAAAAGAAAAATGAATTGCTTCTGTGGGTAATTCATCCAGAAAAAAAAAGAGAGTTATAGACAAGAGCATTTACTGAGCTATCAGAACATGTTCAAAGCAGACCACCAGGACTGAAGCATCACAAATGAATACCACGTTAACAACAGGAACATTTGCTCACTTCCCTTAGAGGAGTAATCCAAGGAAATGCAATAGGTAAAGACAACGAGCAGCCCCATGCAGTCTGCCAATGTATTATTTACATTCAGAGACGTACACAAGCTCACTGCAGTGAAGTGGCATACATTTCCTAGCAGCTTCAGACTTCAGTGGTCTGCGGGGAATTTCTGAGTAGCTACCTCCTATGCCGATATACAAGTTTATTAAAGTGCTTCCTTCTCTCATTAGTTTGAATTCAGGCCTCTGAACTCCTACTGCTTCTCCTGCTGTGGAACCCGTCTGACCATTATTTATCTGTTTCACCTACCAGTATGACATCCCACAAAACCTGAAAATGATGATAAGGCTATAAACAAACAGGCCACTTGCTCTTTGCTCTGTTGCTGCATCTTGCGCTTTGTTCTAGACTTGATAATTAGCAGGCTGTAGTATTTTTATAGAATCATAGAAAATTAGGGCTGGAAGGGACCTCAGGAGGTCGCATCTAGTGCAACCCCCTGCTCCAAGCAGGACCAGCCCCAACTACATCATCCCAGCCAAGGCTTTTCCTTGCTTTCATTTGGCCTGCCTAAGTCTTGCTTGGTATATGAATGCAGTCGGTTCATAAACCTGACTGCAAGTGATCTCAGAGTGCATTTGAATTCTAAACAGTGCCTTTAAAAACCTACATTGGAAGGTTCCATATTTATTCTCAATAACTTTCAGATCCAATTGGTTTGGTTTATAGAAGTAGGGGGTGGAGGGTTGGGGGTATTTTCATACACAGTAAACACCAAAAAGGACTTGAAAACATAGCTGTGTTCCGCTTCTTACACACCCCAGCAGAGTAATAAGGATCATAAAGCTAGAACTCCATTATCAGCTGTGCTTTTCAATTAGTAATTAGCCATAAGAACAAAACTGCCCAAAAAAGGCAGCAGACTCTCCCCATCTCCCGACGTCTTCAAATGAAGACTGAACGCCTTTCAGGAAAATAAGACCCTTCTGGCCTTAAGTATAAGAATTTACAAAAAGACAATGAGGATCAGGAGATTTAGGTTCAATTCTCAGCTCTGCTAAACTTGTCATGACCTCTCTGTATTGACATAAGCGGCTATGTCACTGTAGATTTGTGTCTTAAAGGCATTTTTAGCAGAAATACACAAAGTTTCTGGATACGGTAAGAATGGTAGTATCATTTCTTTGGTATTAGGCAGCAGTAAGACCAATACTGAGCTTGTTTCTAATTCTAGTCTGCTGCAGAAGCCACAAAAAAAAATAAAACCCAATCATTTAGACAGATGGAGCATAAAAGGTTGGAGAGAAAAGAAAAAAAGAAGAGGGCTTCAACTTTTTACACAGAACAAACAGGCCCGAAGTGATGGCAATATTCTGCGAGGGTAGAAAACAGCAGTAGGGCTATCAGCCAGACTTGGGTATCACTTGTTCGTTCTGGAAATCGTGATGATGAAGTTCAATGAACTTCATCACAGCTGCAAAGCAGAAGGCGGATCGATACCAGGAGAAATAAGACTTGATAATCTAGAGGAACAGTAACTCTGTAGTAGATGATAAATTAAATCATCTGCAATTTCAAACCGAGACTTAGCACATTTCTCCCCTTTTCATTACCTGTCTGGGTAAAAGCCCCAGTGTACCAGCACTTGCTTATCCTTTTTCATCACAGGTCTCAACCATTCATCTGAAACAAGGGGAGGGAAAAAGTCAGTTTTAGGTTGCGAGCAGACTCACACAGTAAATTCCTCTTCCATAATCAGACAGAACAGGGTTTATTTCAGTTGCCTCTGCCAAATGTCAGACAAGGTAGGGAAGCTGCAGCTCTCTGAAGATTCATTTCCTTAATTCATCCAGCTATAGCATGCTACAGGAAAGTAGCAAGACAGCAGCAGCCATTTCCCTTCGGATTCTGCATCTCATCAGACCAGGCTAAATAAGATCCATATGCCCAACCAAAAAAATTAGGAAAGCAAAACCAGACCATTTATAAAAGTATTTTGCTATAATCCAATTTCCGAAGAGCCCAGGGTTTATTTGTTTTTAACAAAAAGTCTACTACAGTCCTTCCAGGCCCACAGTGTCTCATGTAAACCCACTGCTGATCTGCTCCCCAGAATAAGTGGTTTTGCAAAATGTATTTTATAGACTTGTTTCGCTAGTATGCTACATCAGTATTAATTACACTGGTAAAAGCACTCCCTACACTTGGAGGAAGTGGCAATTAAGAGCGGCACGATAATAGTCTTCAAAAGATCTGAAAAGCTGCCTTAAGGAAAAGGGAGAACAATCTCTTCCCCTTTAGTGCAGAGGACAAGACAAAGTGGCAGCATCTAATTGCAACAAAGCAGATTAAGATTAGCTCTCAGGAAGAACTTCCTTGCAGGCAGTGGAATACTATCCAGGGATGTTGTGAAATCTCTCTCCTTCCTTAGAGGTTCTAAAGAGGTTCAATAAGATTGAGCAGTGATGAACTAGAACGGTGGATGAACTCAACCTTTTTAGACTCAAGGAATCTCTTGTTAGGTTTAAGACACCCCCTGGAAAGTGCCAGCTCTGAGTTTTCACTCATTTTTGACTATGAAAAAATAATATAGTAAATGTTCTATTGCAAAGAACCTAGAAAGACCACAACAGGTCAGAACTTTTTCTTAGCCCAATGGGCTCTTATTTGAAATGACTGGGTTTATCTTGTGAATCACATCTGCACACCTAACAGTGCTAACACTGCATGGCATTCTGCAGCACCCCTAAAAGGATCTCAAAGCAGCACACTGGTTGAGAATTACTGATCTAGGAGCAGCATTCCCGCATCTGTTCAAGGGGATAGACCAGACTACCCATGAGGTCCCCTCCAACCCTATGATTCTCTGATCCTAGGGTAGCCATAGGCTAAATCTCCATCAACAGCTATACCTATACATACACACTTCAACTCTGCAGACATAAAATTAATCCTTATGAGATTAGCACTCTAGGGACTGGTCACTATTTGAGGGCTTGCGAGTGGCCACGTGAGGGCACTGTGTCCAAAAAGGAACAGTTTTAAGATGATGGGAAGTGCAATGAAAATGGGTTAACACTCTGGCCTGTCTACGCTCTCTCTCAGCCCACCTCCTAATGTGGCTGGCCATCCCTCTTTGCCTGCTGCCAGTCTGATCCTTCCTTGGGCTGGGAACCTGAAATCCCATAGAAAAGATCTCTTGCCATACAACGGCAGCATTGCAGTATGCCAAGGAGACAGATGCTCTGGTCCATGAGGATAAACAGATGTTGTAGCTACTGCTAAACTGAAGAGCCCAACCCTTTCCCATTTTTACCTTGTTAACTGGCAAATATCTACCGCCTCTCTGCGTGTCCTCAGCGTTGACTATCCAGTCACTAATTATTTCCTCTTACTACAATTTACATCCAGCAACCTTCCACGGGCACCACCCTTTCAAGATTGGTACTGAATACTAATCTGAAGGCTACTCTTTCAGTCAGATGAAGGATGATTGTGTAGAGAGAAAGGCAGGCTGACTTGCAGAATTTCCAAGACAATGCTAACCTAGTGAAACTAGGAATCCAGTGCGTTTCCTTCCCGGCTACTCGCAGAGCTAGGACTTGAACACCTGCAACAGCAAGTGGCAGTGACATGCTGGCCATACCAGTAAGAACACAACAGGACTTTCATTGGGTTGCAACAAGGGTGTCAGTGCAGCTTCTACAGGCTGATAGAAGAGTAGTGCTAAAAAACACTGGGGGGGGGTTGAGTAGTATCAGTAGTAAAGGGGTCTAAACACAATTTTTCTCTGTGACAATGGGAAAGGAGGAGTAGGAGAGAGAATTTGAAAATGTTGTACAGAGTCTGGAGAACTCTGCCCAAAATGTAATAACATAGGGCAGATCTGCAGCGTGAACTACATCATAACTTCATTTGGGTTCACGGCTGCATTTTAGTCTAGCTCTCTTTAGCTCTCAGTCTAATGCAAGTTCACTAGCCAGAGAGGTAGCTTGGACCAAACTTACTAGAGTAGAAAGAAACGCTTAAATACAGAGACAGGGAAGTCATATATAGCCACTGGAATAGTGATTCTCAAATCAGGGGGCTGAGGCACTGTGGGTGCCTTGAGATCCTTTCAAGGGTGCCAGGCAACTTTAGCACTGTTAAGTTGGAAACACGATTCACAAGATAAGCACAAAGATTTCAAATAGGAATCCAGAGGGTCAAAAATAGTTCTGCCATGTTGAAGTCTTCCTGAGTTCTCTGCAACAGAAGAAGTGTTCTATTATTTTTCTGTAGTCAGAAAAAGTGAAAACTAAGAGCTGGCATTTTTCAAAGAGTGCCTTGAGTCTAATGAGGGTGAGAACCACTGCATTAGAGATGGAGGCATTTTGTACTTCTCACAAGAGACACCCGGGGATAAATAGAAGCATGCTCCACCCTACGTGGAAGTAAATGCTGCCATCTAGCGGCATTGAACTGTCAGAGCTTAATCCAGCTTGCACTGCAGCTTGCTACGTCCCAAATTCAGGTTCTGAACAACAAATTAAAACCAGACAGTAAATGTCACTGAAGCTATTTTTGTACAGTCTTTATTTAATAGGCTGAACATCTTTAATAATTCACTGTTATACAACAAGCATGGTAAATTGCAATATAATCTATACTGACTTCACTGACTTTTACTGCTTTCATTGCTAACAGTTTCAGCAATGCAGACACACACTAAGCAGCAAGGATGCTACTGCTCTTCTAGCATAGAAAGGGATTTTAATTCTCACTTGTGTCATCTGTGCCCTTCACCTCATCTAGTTCTCTCTCATGGCAGGGGGATGGACTTTCATGCCTAATCATATATTATTGGTTCAGTCACAAGTTGGCTTTTAATGAAACTTTTGTACACAGAAGGGAATTTTCAGTGTGGAGCTATTTTAGCCCCAATCCCCTAGTTCACAGCTTGAAATCCACAACTTTTCAAGAGCTGGGTCTGCTACTTTGACTGGGGGCAATGTCACTGGAAGACAATGAACTTGATGCACTCAGTTTTAAGCCCTGCTTCCACAATCCACCCATCTTCCTATCCAAGGGAATTTCTAGTTATCCCCACATCTCAATTTGTTTCACATTTTCTCCAGATTACAAATTATTTGGGGCAGGGAATGTGGGCTGCCTTGTACACAACCACGTGCTCCACACTTACTACTATCACTAAAACTTTCATCAAACCCCTGAAGGGTCATTAAATCAATGCATGCATATTTGAAGACTTTCCAAAAACACATTACCAGCTCTAATGCATCGGATATACCCATTACATTTTGTTGGAGGCAGAACCATCCAAGATTACATAACGTTTCAAATCCAATCTTAAAAAGGTACTGCTTTTCAATGCATGTCAGTATTAAGCTGAGCATACCTAACAGTTCTGCACAGCATCCATCACATTAGTTACACAATCCTTTATTTACAAAAGAAGAAAAATAAACTCTTAAATAGGATTTACCATCATCCAGTGAGGTAGGACTGGGATAAACATGGTGGGTTGCCTTCGACTTCTCCTCAGTTACTGTTCCCTAGATAGGGGGAAAAAAGTGAAATATTCCATTAGAATCCTCAGCTTTAACAATATAAATGACTTCCTAAAGAACAACTTGCTGTTCAGTAATAATACTTAAATATGATCTTGGTTATCTAGAATAATGCAGAAAGATCCAGTACATAAGTATTCAACCCAATTACTTGGTTCCAAAAGTGCCAGAAGAATTGCACCCTGATGATAATCTAATCCAGAGGTTCTCAAACTGTGGTCCATGAGCTCCATTCAGGTGATCCGCAGAAATTTGGGTGCGGAACAACCGAGAATATCACTACACAGCCCTGCACTTAATCTCTGCCATCAGAAAAAATAAATCAAGTGGTCCGCCAAGACCCTCAGCAATTTTCAAGTGGTCCATGAAAAAAAAAAAAAGTTTGAGAACCACTGATGATCTTCTGCATTATACAAGACTATTTCACCTAGCATTTCTTGTACGCTTTGCGAGACACCAAGTAACAGAGAATCCACCACACCTTTGGGGAAGTGGTGGCAATGTTTAGTTACCCTCATAGTTAAAAGTCTGTGTGCGACTTCCACTGCGAGTTGGTATCTAACATTAGCTTCTAGCCATTATATCTAGTTATGGTTGGTCTCCTAAAATAAAAAGAGCCCCTGATATCAAATCTCCTTTCAGTGTAAAATACTTACAGGCCATGACCTCTTAGCATTTTGATAGGTTAAACAAATCTCTAGCTACTAATTTCCAAGCCTCCAAGCATTGTTCTCGCAGCTATTCTTTGAGCCATGTCTAATTTTTCTTTCTTTTTAAGTAAGGGCATCAGGACTAGAAACAGCATTCCAGCTGTATGCTCAACGGCAGTGAACACAGGAAGAACAAACTCCTGACTTGTATACTGTGCAGTATGATACTAATTGGTTTTATACAGCTAGAGATTACATACACCCTTTGGGCCACAGCCCTGGGATAATGGTCATGATTATTCATTATATGCAAACAGTTGCATTCTGCACATGCTGTAATCAGGAGGGCTGGGAAGTAGTATAACCACAGAGCTGGGAGCTACAGGAGTCATGGCAAAAGGAAATGAAATAAGGGTGAAATCAAGATAATGACACAGCACCAGAAGTAACATTAGTACAATATAAGATTTATCAATTTGGCAAGAAAGGAGATGGAAAAAAATATGGCTATGGATTATTTTTATTATTACTATTATTTTCAATTCTGCTTGGCCATATTTCTATTCCAAATCTATACATTAGGGTTAGAAAAAAGTACCTTTTTAAATATGAATACAAAATGCCTTTTGAGTTATTGCTGAAGGCGCGCAGAATTTATTATGCTGCACTACATGTGCTTCATGAACGCTACCTCTACTCGAATATATAAGAGCAATAGCAAACATTTTAGACTAAAGTGAATAATTAAAAGAACATACAATTAAAAATTGAGTCATTTGTAAATTCAAAATTATTTCTAGGCACCAGAATATAGCTCAGGATATGGACAAAAAACACATTCCAGTAAGCTACAGAGGGCAGGCGCACATTGCATTTCAGCTGCTCTCCAGTGACGGTCTGTGCACTCACCATTTCCCTGCAATAGGTGAAAGCTAAACTAGGCTCACTTTGCCCTTTTTCACTTAAAGTAAGGTGTGCCAGACTAGCTTTCCTTTACTGTGGGGTAAGCGTGGGCCCCAAACAGTCAGCACACACACCAGCTTCCCCAATGATAAGTCTAGTCCCCTATTCTTCTTTGCAGCTGCGTCTCCAATCCAACCTTTCTGTATGATCTGCTCCCAATATCCTGAACAAGGCACTGCTTCTGGTGTTGCCAGATCTTGTGGGGTGCATTGCAGTGCTACAGGGCATCTCGGGAGATGATCCATGGTTTGCTTCTCCTGACAAACACGTTGGTTGGTTGCATAGAAACCCCATGATTTCATGAGAAATCACAGCCCCCCATGTTAGCTCACTGTAATTTGCTCATTTGTCCCCAACTCAGTACATCTAAACTGGAGGAGCCTTAGCTTGTTTCTAATGTGCCCAGTGAGACAGTTATTGCCATAACTTGAATAGTGATAATTATGCATCCTATAACTCATGACAGTAGGGTAGCGCATGACCTCCTTAGGTCACTGGCCTGACAAGTAACTTACACGACGAAGAAAAGAGCTGTACGCTGCTTGGACAGCTACAAGGAGCGTTATGTACCATGGATCTGAGGAAAATTATATTAATTTTTTCTCTGACACTGTAACTAGATCACCAGATGGTATCTGCATGAGGACTAATTGACCCAGGACTTATTATAGCTAGTTCAAGCACACAGACACAGAGAACACAGAAACCTTTCTATTTTACCTTTGGAGGCATTTGGTTCAATAATATCCCCTGGCAACAAGTTCTAGAGGCAGTTATAGGCTATTAAAAACAATCCCTTTTATTTCAGTCAGTCACACTGCAAGTCCTTGAAGAACAGTGTCCTTAACTTGCTGGATCACCCTGTCAAAGACTTCAAACTTTCTTTTTATGTCGCTTATAAATGACATTATTTAAATTACTCTTTTAAAACTCAGCCAACATAAGCAATAAAGTGTAAGATTGAGAGCTTAACACAGTAGATTTAAAGAACGTGTCTTCCAAAACACCAGTGAAAAATGAAAGGAGTTTTTATTGCAGAACAGGGAAAAAGCTATTAGTCTGATTGAGGCTATTATTTAAACATTACAAAAAGAGCCGATGCTAAATTTTCCTGCGAATCTGATGATGTGCTGAATAGGTGATTCTTAACTTTTCAGACAAAGACTGAGAACAAGTGCCCAAAGCTAAACTACGTTCACACGTACCTGGCCTGGCAATAAAAAGTTTCACCATGGGCCACTACTCCCAGACCCACATGCTCCTGGCAGCTCTGCAAGGCTTCACTACAACAGCTGGGCCACCCGAGGAACAAGCCCACCAGGAAAGCAGCACCTGGCTGACATCCTGGGAGTATCTCTAGGGACTGCCAGCCAGTTGTCAACAGAAACTATTCCACTCAACAAGACAATATAGCAACTCCACAGCATAGCAGAGATCTCTGCCCTGCCACCAGAGAAAGGCTTTGAGCAGGGTGGGTTTGATTTAAATTACTGCTCAGAAAGCCTCAATTTTATCACTGTTTTCTACAAAAAGTGCACTCTTGTTGTTTGATATAACCTTAACACATACTATTCATAACTCAGAAACAGGTGTAGGTTTCATTTTTAGAAAGCACACACTATACATTTTAAAGCAGTAATTTTGATATGTTTTCAGATTAATTTTGCAACTACATCAGAAAATTGAATTATGATATGGTTATTTTATTTAACAAAGCTAACTGAAGGAGATACTTGTGAAGTCACTGGGAGGTGAACTATCTCCAATTCACTAGATTAATCATAGATATTTGAGGGATGTTTTTGCCATGCTGTATTAGAATGACACCAAATGAGCAGTGCAGCCATATGTTATTAGCTTGGGGCTTTCTTCCCTTTCTTCTAGATTTCTTTTCATCTTTGATTCCTTTTTTTTTTTTTTTTTTTTTTTTTTTTACAGCCTGGCAAGCCTGCTGCCATGATAGGTTTTCCTGTTTAGATCTCAAATCAATGGATAGGCTATACTCAAACTTATCCCTACAAGAGGGTTGACAGGTGGGTAATCAGGTCTGATGGCTCTCACCTCCATATACTGTTGGTTAACAAGGATGTTCTCTCTCAAGACACACATCCACAGTCTGAGAACCGAAACAAAGCATCACAGAGATGCTTAATGGGATCTTTTAGACTGAGCACTCAGTCTCATTGGGTAGAGTGGTTTTCTTTACTAATCTAGAGAGGAGCCTCTGGAAACCCCATATGATTGGGCCCTTAACATAGTCCATGGCCTCTTGTGGCCTTTTTATGAAACTTTTCTGAAAAGGTTACATGAATATATTGCCTCAAATAGTATACAACTAGAAGTTATAATCCCTATTCCACGATGATATATTTGAGCTTTAATATATCTTAAATTAAAACCATCTTTATGGGGGGGGGGGTTAAAAGCATCTTTAAAATAATCAAAAATATGATTAAATTGAAAAAAGTCTGATCTAAATAAATAAAAATCACTGATTTTTACCCACCCTGGCTTTGAGTATGAATGCACCGAAGTTCTGCAAGCAGTGCTCTGCCATGTATGCTGGGCCCAAGAAAGGCTTCAGTTAACTTAATATTTCTTTTACATTAACAGGTAAGGGACTATTTAGAAAAGTGGGACGTGTACAAGTACATGGGGAGAGGCACAATGCACCCAAGGGTGTTAACAGAGTTGGCCAATGGAACCACAGAGCCACCGGCCATTATCTTTGGAAACTCATGGTGATGGGGACAGGTGCCAGACAATTGTAAAAGGGTAAATATAATGTCCATCTTTAAGAAAAGGAAGGAGGAGGATCTGGGGAACAACAGACAGGTCAGCCTCACCTCAGTACCTGGAAAAATTATGGAGCAAGTCCCCAAGGAATCTATTTCTAAACACTTGAAGAAGAAGGTCATTAGGAATAGTCAACATGATTCACCAATGGCAAGTCATGCCTGACCAACCTGACTGCATTCTATGACGAGATGACAGGCTCTGTGGATGCATGGAGTGGATGTGATATACCTTGACTTCACCAGTTGTTTTTTTAATATGGTCTCCCACAACATATACATAAGCAAGCTAAGGAAGTATGGATTGGATGAATGGATTGAAAAGTGAACAGAAAACTGGCTGGGTTGTCAGGCTCAAAGGGTAGCAAAGCTATGGCTCAATGTCTAGTTTGCAGCCAGTATCATGTGGAGTGTACCAGGAGGTGGTCCTGGAGCCACTTTTGTTCAATATCTTCATCAGTGACCTGGAAGATGGATTGCACTGCACCCTCAGCAAGTTTGCAGTTGACACCAAACTGGGAGGAGTACAAGACACACTGGAAGGTACAGCTAGGATTCAGAGAGACCTGAAGGAATT